AAAAAAAAAAACCTCTTACTCTCCGCTGCCTGTGCTCAGGTAAAGGCCATTGTTGAAACCAAGGTCCCGGCAGCCCGGTCTCCATCACTATCCTGCTGCACACTTGGTATCGGTGCAGCAGCCTTACCTTGCAGGCATCCAGCTCTAAGGCTGGTACAAGGCAGTAGTTCCCCAGGCTTGCTGTGCTGTAGAATTTCCAGAGGGCCAGGTATCCCAGCCTTGGGAGGCTGAAGCAGGAACTTGAGTTCCCGGGCTGCTCTCACACCATAGATGAGGCCGGAGGGGTGACTCAGGAGGGAAGGACAATCGCTCCCAAACCCGGGGACCTGAGCTCAGTCATGGCAGAAGGACAGATAGATTCCATGGAGCTGTCTTCTGGTCTTCATACACACACCATGGCCCACATTTACACACACACACTCACACGCAGAACACACGTACGATGATATTAATAACAGTAAGGAAAATAATTCCATTGTTCTAAAATTAAAAAGAACTTTCAGCCAAGGGGGTAGTGGTACATGCCTTTAGTTGCAGCATTTGGGAGGCAGAGGATCTCTGTTTGAGGCCAGTCTGTTCTACAGAACAAGTTCTAGGACAGCCAGGGCTGCTACACAGAGAAACCCTGTCTTGAAACACACACACAACAACAACACATACACACAGATAGCCACACTATTCACCTGTTAAATGTGTTTAACCTGTCTCTATAAAATGTTGTCAATCAGGGCCCCACTCCCATAGCTTTGCGAAGACCTCTGTCTCCTAAATGTCCTTACTCTGTCATACCACATCCCTTTGGTTAAACTGACGGTTGCCGTGTTTGTCCCTTCTGCTGTGGCGTAGCTCCTCTGTGCATGGACCGAAGCATGAAGAATCTATCATGGACTTAATCCAGAAGGAGGTGGAGAGCTGTGACTCTCTGAGCGGATTCTTCATCATTATGAGTATGGCTGGCGGAACAGGATCGGGGCTGGGAGCCTTCGTTACACAGAAGTTACAAGACGAGTACCCCAGTTCCTTGAAAATGAATCAGGTTATATGGCCTTATGGAACTGGCGAGGTATGAACACGTTAATTAAAAGTTATGTATTTATTTCATGAGTGTTTTGCTGGTTTGTATGTATGTGCACAAAGACATGCCTAGTTCTCAAGGAGGCTGGTAGAGGGCGTAAGATTTCTGGTACTGGGGTTATAAGGTTGTGAGCCACCATGTAGGTGCTGGGAACCAAACCCAGGTCCTTTGGAAGACAAGCCAGTGCCCTTAACCGCTGAGCCATCTCTCCAGCCCCTAACCAAATGTTTTATGTTGTGTATTCTTTGTTCTTTTTGTTTGTTTAATCAAGGCACAGTTAGGAATCTGGTGTGGTCATATGCCATTTCTCTTTGGTAAATACTCAATAGTAGAATAATTAAATCATAGTATTTTATTTATTTTTATTTTATGTCTATAAGTATTTGGTGAATGTATGTCTATGCCCCATGTGGTGTCCGATCCCCGGGGACTGGGGGAGTTAGGTAGCTGTGAGCTGCCATGTGGGTGCTGGGAACCCAATCCTGGTCATCTGGAAGAGAATCCAGTCCTTTTGACCACAGAGCCATTTCCCTAGTCCCTATAGTCTTTGATCTTAAAGTGAACATGAATAAATAATGGATCTCACTTTTTTGAGACTATTGATTTCAATTTACGTGAATAATTCATTTAATTTTGGTTAAATTTTCCCAAATATATGAATTATTCTTTGTTTCTAAGTCTTTCTGTTTCATTATGGTCTTGGTTTTTTGAGACAGTCTTACTTGCAGTCCAGACTGACTTCCGACTAAGACCCATCCATCCAGTCCAGCAATAGGCATGTGTCACCATGTATATCTGAGGTGTCTTTTTTTTTTTTTTTAATTAAGCCAGTCATGGTGGCGCACACTTTTAACCCCAGTTCTCAAGAGGCAAAGACAGGTTGGATCTCTGTGGGTTCAAGACTAGCCTGGCCTATATATAGAACTCTATGACAGCAGAACTATATAATAAAAAGAAAAAAATTTTTCCAAAGATGATGACCAGCGATGTAACTCATTAGACATGTGTTTAGCTTGTTTCTAGCCCTGGATTCTATCCCCAGCACCAGGTGGTAGTAGGAGTCACAACAAGGAATTTCAAAAATGACTGCACATCTTTCGGGAGCCCGTTTTTTGAGTTGGTCCTTCTGGTGCTGCAAAGAGGGACCTTCAACTAACTCATATTGGGGTTCATGATATTGTGGCTAGCCTTCAAATGATCTTTCTTTCTATTGAGACAAATTTTTTGTTTGTTTGTTTGTTTGTTTTTTGAGACAGGGTTTCTCTGTGTAGCCCTAGCTGTCCTGGAACTCACTCTGTAGGCCAGGCTGGCCTCAAACTCACAGAGATCCACCTGCCTCTGCCTCCTGAGTGCTGGGATTAAAGGTGTGCTCCATGCCTGGCCTTGGCGTATGCTTTCTTCGCATTATGTCCTGGTCCTGCATCTGTCAGAGGCGGATATTTCCGTCCCCATTTTACACACGAGGAAACTAATGCGTGGAGGAATTAAATAACCTCCAAGCCACGCTGCTGAAAAGTAGCAGACCTGGCTGGAAGCCAGGCAGGGCGCCTTTGGAATCTACACCCTTTCGTTTCTGTTGTTACTGTGTTAACCTGGGGTTTCACTGTGTAGCCCTGGCTGTCCTGAAACTCAATATGTAGCCCAGGCTGGTCCCAGACCCAGAGACCCGCCTGGCTCTGCTTCCCAAGTGCGCCATCACTCCCAGCGGGAGTCTCCGTTCGTCCCTCACCTCCCCTGTCCTGTCTCTGACCCCTCTCTCTCCAGGTTATCGTGCAGAACTACAACTCCATCTTGACTCTCTCTCACTTGTACCGGTCCTCAGATGCCCTCCTCATCCATGAAAATGACGCTGTCCACAAGATCTGCGCCAGACGGATGAACATCAAGCAGATCTCCTTCAGAGACCTCAATCAAGTTCTCGCCCACCAGCTGGGGAGTGTGTTCCAGCCCACGTACTCTGAGGATGGCTCATTTCACTACCGCAGGAATCCGCTAGGTACCCTACCCCTCTGCTCTCTGTAGAAAACCATATGTTATGAAAGTCCCAAAGTTACCTGGAGCTACTGCCAAGATATACCCAAAGATCTGTCTTCAGGCCCACCTTCATCTTTGAACTGTCTTACTGAAAAATCTCAAAAAGTTACTAAATTTCTCAAAAGCATACAATGTGAATTCTAGGTCAGTCATTCTCAACCTGTGGGTCAAGATCCCTTTGGAGGTTGAATGGCCCTTTCACAGGGGTCACCTGAAACCATCAGAAAATATAGATATTTACATTACCATTCATAATAGTAGCAAAATTAAGGTTATGACATAGCAACACAAATAATTATATGGTTGGGGTCCCCACAACATGATGAGCTGTTCTAAAGGGCTGCAGTATTAGGAGGCTGAGAACTGCTGAGCTAGGTGCTCCTCCCCGCTCACCACACCATCTGTGAAACCACTGTGCTCCCAGGATCTAAAACAGTGAAAGGCAAATAGTGCACACTTGATAAAATATTCACTGGGTGGAAATACGTGTTTCATACAGCTTGGGATAGAGGCTAAGCTATTACACACACTAGGCAAGTGTTACACCACTGAGCTACATCCAACAGATAAAAGGTATATAGATCTGGGGTAAGCCACAGTCGTTGTGGTGAAACACAGATTTAATAGAAATGGGTTAATCAAGATGTGAGAGTTGGCTGAGAAGAAGCTAGATATAATGGGCCAGGCAGTGATTTAATTAATACAATTTCTGTGTGATTATTTCGGGTATAAGCTAGCCGGGAGGGACAGAACAAGGGGCCTTGCTCCCCACTACACTCCTTTCTACCCACTTCTCCCTTTCCTCTCTTTCTTTTTCTCTCTCTGGTTCTCTGCCTCTCTCTCCTCCTCTCTCTCCTTGTCCCCAGTCCCCCTTCTCCCTTCCCTTCCATAACCCACTAAATAAATACCCACTTTCTCTGCTCCTCGTGGGACTGGCTGCCCTGGGACAGGCCTTCATGGCCCACCATGGTCTCATGACCTGCTGCTGCCACTCAGGGAACAGCACTGGCACCATTTTAGTTTTACCATAACATTTGGTTCCAGTCTGAGTCATGGCACCAAATGCTATGGTAAAACGCTGCAGGGAGTGGGTGGGGCTTCTCTCTTAAAGGCACAGGACAGATCATTACACTAGAAAGGTCTGTTTGGCGACTTTCTACCACAGAACTATGTGTCTATCCCCCCCCCCCCCATACAGGCTTGATTGTCATTTAGCTAGATAAATACAAGATCTGGAACATGATCTAAGGAACTTTAGTTAATATAGGCTGACAAGAAAAGCAGATTAACTCTCATAGCTTTGTGGTTAGTCACTCTTGTCTCTACTCATGTGCCTTTTGGCAAAGTATAGGGTGTTTCTCTCTCTCTCTTTCCTTCCTTTTTTCCTCCCTCATTTCCTCCCTCCTTTCCTCCCTCCCTCCCTCCCTCCCTCCCTCCCTCCCTCCCTCTCTCCCTCCCTTCTTTCTTCTTTCTTCTTTCCTTGAGACAAGGTCTCACTATGTGACTCTGGCTGTCCTGAAACTCACTATGGAGACAAAACTAGCCTTATTTTAAGTTACAGAAATCTGTCTGCCTCTCCCTCCTGAGTGCTGGAATTAAAGGTGTACACAACCGTGCCTGGATATCTGTTTATGTTTTGAGCCTGAGTCTTATAATATATAATAATGGGCTGCCCTGGAACTTTTGGGCCATTGTTCTGTCTCTGCCTCCTAAGTACTGGGATTACAAGTGTGAGCCACCATACCCATACCCCTTATAAGTATGTTTTTTCAGCCATGCTAAAATCAAGCAAAGATCTGGGCATGATAGTACACACTTTAATCCCAGCATTCTGGAGGCAGAGGCAGATGGATCTCTTGTGACCTCAAGACCAGCCTGGTCTATAAAGAGAGATCTAGGTTATTCAGGGCTACACAGTGATGTCCTGTGTCTAATAATAATAATAATGCAAATATGTAGTCTGTATCAGACATTGTCTCTGAAAATTCACCAGTGTATTATTTTAGCAATTATGGAAATGGAGAAGATATATTTGACTCAAAACATCATCAGGTCACGGGTGTGTAAAATGCCCCACTGTGGATGAAGTAAATTCAGTTCACATTTTTGTTTTGTTTTCTTACAGGAGACTTAATGGAGCATTTAGTTCCCCACCCTGAATTTAAAATGCTGAGCATCCGTCACATCCCACAGATGTCTGAGAACTCTCTGGCGTACAGCACGTTTACCTGGGCTGGCCTCCTCAAGCATTTACGACAGATGCTTATTTCCAGTGCAAAGATGGAAGAAGGTAAAGGGATATTCTAAAATAGACAACCCACATACAGAGAAGGTGCCTGTCCTGGAGCCCTGAGTATAAACTGGCTTGGGCTGGTTGAAATAAAGGCCCCTTCTTCTAGACAGGGAGCCTCCTTCAGAAACTCCTGGGACATTGCAGAGGGCTTCTTGATGGCTTTACAGTTTTACTTTAAAAGGACATTTAAGATGAGTGTCATGTTATTTCAAATCTTTATTTTATTTTAATCAAAGTAATATATGAATGTAGCTTTAAAATATCTAGTGCCGGGCGATGGTGGCACACGCCTTTAATCCCAGCACTCGGGAGGCAGAGGCAGGCGGATCTCTTTGAGTTCGAGACCAGCCTGGTCTACAGAGCTAGTTCCAGGACAGGCTCCAAAACCACAGAGAAACCCTGTCTCGAAAAACAAAAACAAAACAAACAAACAAAAAAATCAAGTAGTTAGGGGCTGGGACTAAAGGCTTCCAACTTCAATTGGAAGAGTGCTTGCCTATCATGTAACATGTGACATGTTCAGTCCTTAGCCCCATAAAAATCAGGAGCAGATGCCTGTAATTCTACTCTAGAGGCAGAATCGGAAAGATCAGAAATTCAACGCCTGACTCCGCTCCATAGCTAGTTCCAGGTCAGCCTAGGGTATGTTAGACCCTGCCTCAAAAGAAAAGGATCATGCCCCCATGAGATGGCTCCAGGGTGAAGGTGCTTGGATCCAATCTGAGGACCCACATGGGGGAAGGAAAGAGCCACTCTACAAGTTCTCCTCTGACCTCCACACGTGCCCTGTGGCACACATGAGCACATGCCTACATGCACGAACACAAGCACACAAGCAATTAATTATTTTAATTTTTTTTAAAAAGCCAAGTAATAGCCAGGTGGTGGTGGCACATGCCTTTAATCCCAGCTCTAGGGAGGCAGAAACAAGTGGTTCTCTGTAAATTGAAGGCCAGCCTGGTATACAAGCGAGTTCCAGGACATCTCAGGAGGTTACACAGAGAAACCCTGTCTCAAGAACAAAAAAAAAAAAATCAAGTAATTGAATTGAGTTATTAAAATTCACTTAAGCCTGTTGGTAGTACAAACAATTTTTAAATTTTTATTTATCTTATACGCATGTTTGTTTTGCCTGCATGTATATCTGCACATACATGCTCGGTGCCTGTGGAGGCCAGAAGAGGGCCTTAGATTCCCAGGGAGTTGTGGGCCATGGATGCCTGGAATAGAATCTGGGTCCTCTGGAAGAGCAGCCACTAAGTCACTCCAGCCTCCAAGCCGAGCTTTTGCATCTGGGAGGTCCTGCATTTGATCCTAGTCTCACTGTAGACACGGGTATGTCCACAGTGTGGTGCAGTGGTGTCTGGGGACATTGGAAAGGACCCAGAGCAGGACCCTGCCCTCTGCTTCCCCTCGTTCAGATAAAACCCTTTCAACATTCTCAGTTGTTTCTTCTGAACTTGATGTCCCTATTTCTGAATATTTTGCTCTGATTTATTTCCAGCTTTAGCTATTACCTATTCTTGTTGTTCTAGCAATACCTGCTAATATCTCAAGAAGCAATGCTCTTCAAGGGAGGGTGAGGCACACTGCGCCAAGCTCTCTCAGGTCAATAAAATGCAGTTTGCTTAGTCATTTTTCCAAACGGAACTGTAGGGTGTCAATGGTTTGTTTTTGTTTTGTTTTGTTTTCAGTTTGCTATAGATGGACTTTAAGCATATAAAACGTTTTTGTAGTGTAGGGACTGAATCTAGAGTTACATACACTAGGCTAGTGCACTACCATTGACCCACATAGCCCTGAATGGTTTCCATTTTTGAATACATGACTAAGGAGATGGGTAAACATATTTATGGCACAAACCAAGGTGAAGGATCTAGGTAGAAACTGTTCATGTTATCAGGTTGCTCTGTGTAAAGACGGGCCCCGTTTTTGTCACCATCACTATCCATCTCCACATGTCCCAGCAACAGACCAACAAGGGAATGAAAGATTGAAGAGAGACTAGAACTACCAGATGTGGTAGAGCACGCCTTCACTCCCAGCACTCAGGAGGCAGAGATAGGCAAATCTCTGTGAGTTCAAAGCTGTCTGGTCTACACAGCGAGTTCCAGGACAGCCAGGGCTACTCAATAGGTAGAGCCTGGGGAGAATGAGGGGGGCAGAGAGATACAAGTAGAGAGACAGGGAGGGGTTACAAGTGTCATTGCATACCTGCCTCAAAGTTGAACATGGTTGTGCATGCTTGGAATCTCAGCATGTTGAGGCAGGAAGATTGTGAGTTTGAGGCTACCCTAAAGCTACACAGTAAGACCCCATCCAAAAAAAGAAAGTGGATATGGTGTCTATTACCTGTCCCGCAACTTGGCACTTCAGAGACCAAAGCAGAAGTTCCAGACCAACCTGGGCTACATTGTGAGTTCTAGGCTACAGAGCGTGGCTCTGCCTCAAAAGCAGACAGACAATCAAATATATACCTCAGTGTGTGGTGAATTATCCAAGGGCTTTCATCTCCTGACAGCCGATTCTCCTGCATTACCTGCCAAGTGCTGGGCTCATAGACATGTGCTACCACACCCAACCTAAACACCTACATTCTTCTCATGTTGTTCAAAGCCGCCTATAAACTCTCTAGCTTTTCTTTTGTGCTAGGTATTGACTGGCAGGTGCGGCCTCCTTCCTCAGGCCTCCCACCTCTTGGCAAAATGTCTGTCCACAAGGATCCTCGTTTTAACACTTCCATTGCCAACTTGGTCATTCTCCGTGGGAAGGATGTGCAAAGTGCCGACATGGGTAAGCATAACTTCAGGTAAAAAGTGAGGCATCTGTTTTGGATCATGTGGGTGTTCACTTCTGGGACTGTCGGGATGTACGGAGGGAGAGGCGCTTAGTTTACAAGCCTGACAAACTTGAATTTGGCACCTGGAACTCATTCCTGTAAAGGTGGATGAGGGAACCGACTCCACCCACACTAATACAAATTTAGTGATTTCTAATCTTTAATCCCAGCTCAGGAGGCAGAAGCAGGCAGATCTCTGTGAGTTTGAAGGCAACCTGGTTGCCATAATGAGTTCCAGGCTATCCAGTGCTACACAGTAAGATCCTGTCTTTAAAAACAAAACAAGACAACCTAATTTAGGGGGTGGATACATAACCCATTGATCCATCTTTACAACCAAGCCAGTATTCTTAACTTTGGAATTCAATAGGAGGAGTTTCAAGAGAGTGTACGTGTGTGTGTGTGTGTGTGTGTGTGTGTGTGTGTGTGAGTGAGAGAGAGAGAGAGAGAGAGAGAGAGAGAGAGAGAGAGAGAGAGAACAATTTGTTGGTTCTCTTTGCCCACCCTGTGGGTCCCAGAGATCGGATCCAGTCATTAGGCTTCGGAGCCAGCATCCCTGCTGAACCATCTTGCTGGCTCAAGAAGACATTCCCAGCATAGGCTTAGGCACCAGGGTTTATAGAAAGAGAGGCATTTAGGGAGAGGATGTGGGCATGAGCTTCTCAAGAGTGACTCCTATCCTGCTTGCTCTGCCTCTGGTGACTCCACCCTTCTTCTTCCCAGCATCCTCCTAGTCTGGCTCTCCTGCCCAGCTATAAGGTAGTCACCTCCTTACTAACCAATGAGAGCAATATGTATTTGCAGTGTAAAAAGAATGTTCCACAGCAATTTTTTTTTTCTCTTTTTCAAGACAGGGTTTTGAGGCTCTCCTCAAACTCATTCTGTAGACCAGGCTGGCATTGAACTCACAGAGCTCCACCTGCCTCTGCCTCCTTAGTGCTGGGATTAAAGGCATGTGTCACCACTGCCAGGCTCCATATGTACAATTTTTAAAGGTTTATTTATTAATTATGTACACAGCATTCTGCCTACATGTATGTCTGCAGGCCAGAAGAGGGCACCAGATCTTATAACAGATAGTTGTGAGCCACCATGTGGTTGCTGGGAATTGAACTCAGGACCTCTGGAAGAGCAGGCAATGCTCTTAACCACTGAGCCATCTCTCCAGCCCCCTTATGCACAATGTAAGGAGTTTATTTCTATGTGTGTGGTGTGTGCCCATGAGTATGTGGGTGTATATGCCTGTACACGTACATGCAGAGACCAGAGGAGGACCTAGGGTTTCTCCATCTGTTGCTGCTCCCTGCCTTATTCCTCCGAGACGGGGTCTCTCTCTGAACCTGACGCTATGCAGGTTATGCAGCTGGTTGGCAAGCTTCTGGGGTTTGCCTACCCCTGCCCCCCCTTATACATTAAGCACTCTTACACTCTTACCCACTGAGTCTTCTCTCGGCCCCGAGATGTGTACAATTTTGGTGGCTTCCAGAGTCCCATTTCAAAGGGTTGCCTAGGGAGCTGAGTGAGCATATACAGTGGGTCCATGCACACTGGGTCAGAGCTGACAAGGTAAATGTAAGGCTGGCTAGAAGAGGGAAATCTGGGGACTTAGGAAGGAAAGGGGGCCTCTCTCACCACCCAAAAACTGAGGATTCCTGCATGATCAGCATTCTCTGTGAGACGGTCAGCACAGGTGCTGCGTTTTATACAGGAATGGGCACAGTAAAAGAGCGGTGACCAGGCTTGGGGCCTTCCTATCTTTGTTTTCAGTGAAGATGCTCTACCTTCCCTCATCCCTGCCATCTGGAGTTTCTCTCACCACCACAATCTGTTGGGTACCCTGTGGCCTCATTCAAGTTCCTTAACAACTTCTTGAAAACTGTAACTTCAGAAATCACCAAAGTACTGTATAGACAATGGGGCCCAACTCTTTTATGGGTCCACATGCATGGGAATATGTGTTGAGGTTGTGTGCACGCAGCTCACATGTGTGTAGAGATGAGAAACAATTTGTGGCTCTCTGTCCACCCTGGTCTCTGCCTACCCCGTCTTCTTACTCTCCGCCCGAGGACCTCATTCTGTTAACCCTTGCACTTAAGCTCTATATGAGAAACATCTTTCATAAAGCCCCGCTCTGCATCCCGCTGGCTCATTTTGAAATTCTTTTCTTCCACAAAACCAAGGATCCACTTTACCTGAGGGGTCTCCTCAGACTGAGCTGATCAGATCAGGGAGTTAAGACATGTTTTGACCGTACACAAAGTTTCGGTCTTGTGACATTCCAGAGTTCGCAGCTGAGAGACCTAAGCACAGCCAGACACTTGGCCTCAAGCATGCTTCGTTACTAGTTTAACATTCCTGTTTGAAACAGCTCTTTGCAGATAATCTTTTTTTTGGGGGGGGCAGGGTTTCGAGACAGGGTTTCTCTGTGGTTTTGGAGCCTGTCCTGGAACTAGCTCTTGTAGACCAGGCTGGTCTCGAACTCACAGAGATCCGCCTGCCTCTGCCTCCCGAGTGCTGGGATTAAAGGCGTGCGCCACCACCGCCCGGCTTGCAGATGATCTTCACAGAAAATTTTGCAAATTGTTCTATGATTTATTTTATTTACTTATTTTATGTGTTATGTTTTGCTTGCATGTATTTCTATGTATCTCATGCATCCATAGTGCCCAAAGATGCCAAAAGGAGGTGTCAGATCCCCTGGGTCTGAATTACAGACAGTTGTGAATGCCTCTGTAGGTGCAAGGAATTGAACCTGGGTCCTCTGGAAGAGCAGCCAATGTTGACTTCTTAAGCACAGGACTGTCCTTCTGGCCCAGAAACTTTATCTGAAGTCTAGTGTGAGGGGCTCCTTCCTTCTCCTCAGATTTCCCTGTTGTTCTGTCCTTCTTCAGAATTACTGGGTATTTTCCTTCTTTTTTTAACATGTGTATGTGCGTGTGCTTGTGTACATGTGTGCTTGACGTAACATGCACGCCTGTGCCCCAGCACACACGTGGCGATCAGAACTTGCAGGAGTGTCAGTTCTGTGCTGTCGCCGTGTGGGTACCAGGACTTGAACTCAGGTCAGCAGGCTGGCAGCAAGCACGTTTACTTGCTGAGCCATCTTGCCAGCCCTCGTTATAACATCGTCACACATACGTAAAAGGGACTTTGCTCATGTGTGTGGTGTTTCTAATTCCAGAGGGATTTAAAGACCCAGCTCTCTATACTTCCTGGCTGGAGCCTCTTCACGCTTTCAGCACATGGAAAACCCAGCGAGCCTTCGGCAAGTATGAGAAGTCTGCGGCACTGGTCAGCAATAGCCAGCTCTTGGTAAAGCCTCTCGACATGATCGTCGGCAAGGCGTGGAATATGTTTGCATCCAAGTAAGTAAGAGATGTCCCAGACTGCCTCGCCTCAGCCAGACATGCCGAGGTAAAGCATGAGGTGTGCTGTGTGGCTGCGAAGCCGTGGGCATGTGACTTAAAGGCTACCCCTCATCTGTGCAGCAAGGGTCCAATGAGATAACCATGCAAAACACCTAGTATGCCACTTGGCTAGCAAAGGGCTCAGTAATTGTTCTGTGCTGTCATTTTATGTGTGTGGGTGTATGTGTGCCTGTATGTAGTCTGTGTACCATAGGCATGCCTAGAGCCCTGGGACTAGAGTTACAGACGACTGAGAGTCTCCATGGAGGCCCCGGGAGTAGAACCTGGGTCTCCTGGAAGAACTCCCAGTGCTCTCAAGCACTGAGCTCTCTCTCTCTCCAGCTTGTCTCCTAAACTACTGTTACACTGTAGGACTTGTTTACCAAGTGAACAGTTTCTAAGCAACATTCAAAATTTCATAAGATTTTTAAAACAGATCCTTGAGACTGGAGATGCTGCTCAGGAGAAGAGACCTTGCCTGTGTTCTGTCCCTAGCACTGGGAGGACAAGAAAAAGGTCCGGGGGATGGAGGGGACTCAGGTCCAGCTGTATTCAGGGAAGTCCTAGCGGCTTCTCAGCCTCCCACAGTTCTTTGCTGTCAGAATACAATTACCCGGATGCCGGAGCAGGGTTAGGATTCCCGAGGCCTCGCCATCTGCCCAGGCTGGTGCAGTCCTGTCTCCTCACCTGGATCCCAAGTCCTCTTTTGGTTCAAGCTCATCTTACTCTTGCTATGATGTCAGTTTATCTTGGGTTGCCCTCGCTGGTCTTCTGGGTGCTGGGTTTCTCCTGACCCAGAACATTTGGGTGGGAAGGTGTTGTGTGAATTTTACTCTTTTGGCTCTTTTGAGGGGCTCACCACCCAGCTCCCAAGTAAACCACACACAGAAGTTTATTCTTAGTTATGAATGCCTGGCCTCAGCTTGGCTTGTTTCTAGCCAGCTTTTATTATCTTACATTATCCCGACTACCTTTTGCCTCAGGGTTTTTACCTTTCTCTATTTCTGTATACCTTCCTTTACTTCTTTCTCCGTGGTTTGCTGTGTAGCGGATGGCCAGCCCCTGATGTCCTCCTCTCCTGTTCTCTCGTTGCTCCTCCTTCTCCCTCCTCCCTGGTTTCTCCTTCCATTTATTCTCTCTGCCTGCCAGCCCCGCCTCTCCTTGCTCCTGCCTCGCTATTGGCCGTTCAGCTCCTTATTAGGGCCATCAGGTGTTTTAGACAGGCAGAGTGACAGCTTCACAGAGTTAAACAAATGCGGCGTAAACAGAAGTCACACACCTGAAAATAATATTCCGCAACAGGAAGGGTCTGAGAAAACCACAAGGCAGAACCCTAGATCCATTTCTAATGTCAAACCCCCAGGGAAACTTCTGGGCTCCTTTTAGAGTTGACCTGGAGGCATCGCCTCCTATAGAGTGAACTGAACCTGTTTGCCTGGCCTGCAGTCAGACATGCTGCCTTCCCCGTGCCCTCGTGGACAGCAAAGGTAAAGGGAGCGTGGTGATAGGCTGACAGTTTACCAATGCTGCTCACTGGTTCTGAGTAAACAGCGACCCACACGTACGGCCCCTAAGAGGTTCTGTGAGCTTTGAACGCTCAAAAGCCAGGAAAGGTCTACTTACTGTGTACGTTTCTCAGTTGCCTGGATTTGCTGATTTGACAGTTTCTGCTTTTCCACCAGAGCCTACGTTCATCAGTACACAAAATTTGGAATAGAGGAAGAAGATTTTCTGGACAGTTTTACATTGTTAGAACAAGTTGTTGCCAGTTATGGTAATCTCTGACCTAAACCAAGAGGGAAAACATCTCGCAGGAGTTTCGAATAAAATATTTTCAAAATTGAGCCATGCTCAGTGGAGGTCACATGAGATCCCTGCACTCTGGAAGAAGAAGCCGGAGAACCAGAGCAAAGTCGAGCATCCTTAGCCACGCCAAATGTTCCAGGCCAAACCACTGGTGGCGCCTGCCTTTAATCCCAGAACTCAGGAGGCAGAGACAGGCAGATCTCTGTGAGTTCAAGGCCAACCTGGTCTACAAGAGCTAGTCCCAGGACAGCCAGGATCTGTGTGAGTTTGAGGCCAGTCTGGGCTACAGAGTGAGTTCCAGGACAGGCTCCAAAGCTACAAAGAAACCCTGTCTCAAAAGACTAACTAACTAACTAACTAACTAACTAACTAAATAAATAAATAAATAAAAGTGTGTTCTGGGCCAACCTGGGGTACATGACACCTTGTCTCAGAATAGATAAATAAAGGGCTGGAGAGATGGCTCAGAGGTTAAGAGCATTGCCTGTTCTTCCAAAGGTCCTGAGTTCAATTTCCAGCAACCACATGGTGGCTCACAACCATCTGTAATGAGGTCTAGTGCCCTCTTCTGGCCTACAGGCATACACACAGACAGAATATTGTATACATAATAAATAAATATTAAAAAAAGAATAGATAAATACAAATACTTGTTCTAAAGTTCAATCTGTTAAAGTAATAAAGTAGAATGCTGAATTTAGTAAACTGTTGCTGAGTCTTTTTTTCTATTGTCAAAAAACTGCTTTTCCACTAATTCATGCTTTTCACATTTTAGATATGACAATATGTATAAATGTGTAATTTGGAGGAATTGTTTCAGCCCCTTTTCCTAATTTTTCTTCAGGATAGATTATTTCAACAAGTGATTTGTAGTGATGACCGTGTTGACTTCAATTTGGAGTGTAGTAGCTGTGTTAAAGAGTATTTGAGGCACGGTGGTGGTGGTGCATGCCTTTAATCCCAGCATTTGGGAGGCAGAAGGAGGACAGCCAAGGTTACACAGAGAAACCCTGTCTCAACAAAACAAAACAAAACAAAACAATGAAGTCTCTGTGATTCGGGAGCTGGTTGGTGGCCCAGGAGAAAGCCTGCCATAAGCATGTATTTGGTATTTCATTTGTAAGGGAAAAAAAGCAGTGTTTCTATAAAGAACATCATTTTATTAGGACAGGTTCTCAAACTGTTGGGCTCAAGAGATCCTTCTGCCTCAGCCACCAGAGGCAGCTCTGTGCCCCTTGGAACCTCATTTAAAAGAATTCCAAAACACTTGGCAGACAGAGCTGTAAGAATCCAAGGAATCTCCATGTTTCTAAGTCTTTCCTCTTTATTCAAAAAAGACTTACTGAACATGACATAAGCGTTCACAGTTCAAATGAAAGCAAAAAAATTACTTTTAAGTATTCACCTGGGATTTAAGAAAAGTTTTGTGTGTGTAGCCGGGCGATGGTGGCGCATGCCTTTAATCCCAGCACTCGGGAGGCAGAGGCAGGCGGATCTCTGTGAGTTTGAGACCAGCCTGGTCTACAGAGCTAGTTCCAGGACAGGCTCCAAAGCCACAGAGAAACCCTGTCTCGAAAAACCAAATAAATAAATAAATAAATAAATAAATAAATAAATAAATAAATAAATAAAAGATTTGTATGTGTGTGTGGTGCGCACTTGTGCGTGTGCTGTGTGTGGCTGTGTACATGCATGAAGGTCCCCGTGGAAGCCAGAAGGAGACGTTATGTCCTCTGGGGCTGGAGGTAGAGGTGCTAGTTCTGGGAACTGAACTCTGTTCTCTGCGAGTGCAGTAAGTACTCTTCACCCTGAGCCATCCCTCCAGCCCTAGCATGAGTTTTGTTTGTTTTTTTTTTTTTGAGGCAGGGTCTCTGTAGCCCAGGAAGGCCTGAAACTTGCTATGATCTCCCAAGTGTTAAGCATCAGCCACTACTTGGGTCTGAGAACTATGATTCTGTAAGTATATTTTCCTTTGGAAATGAATGCATCGAGCCACAAGAGGGAGATGTTGTCAAACGCTACAGTGTGACCATCGACTCTGAACACAGTCAGCTACTTTACACAGCTATTTAAAAATGAACATTGGAGCGGGGCAGTGGCCTTTAATCCCAGCACTCAGAAAGCAGAGGCAGGTGGATCTCAGTGAATTCAAGGTCAGCCTGGTCTACAAGAGCTAGTTCCAGGACAGCCAGGACTGTTAGAGAAACCCTTATCTCAAAAAACAAAACAACAATAATAATAAAAAGGAACATTGGGGATATTTATTTTATATTTTTTTCAAAATTTATCTGAAAGTAGAAAGGAGACCTAAACAAAAGGCCTAAATCTAAAATAGTAGATGCAAATGTAAGAGAAAATCTCCCTGGTACTAGCCCTGGCAACCTTCCTTTATCAGAATAAAATCTCACATAAAAACAAAACCATAAGAGAACATTGGGTCAAGTGCAACTTCGTGCCCTGTACTTCCAGCACTCTGGTGGCGGGGCAGGAGGCTCTGATCAGTCAGGAGTTCAAGATGAGCTTTAAAAAACTTAGGCATTGTTGCAAACAGTTGAAATCCCAGCTCTTGAGAGATGGAGGCATGAGGATCAGGAGTTAATAGGAGCTTGAGCACACACCAAGTTCCAGGTCAGACAGGGCAATACACACAGCAAGACCTTGTCTCACAAACCAAAGCCAGGGCTTCGAGAGATGCCTCAGCTGGTAAAGGCACCTGCTGCCACGCCTGACAACTGAGATCCATCCCTGGACCCACATTTCTCGGCCCACATATGTGCCATGGCATATGCATGCACCCACACATATTAAATATTTATTTTGAAACAGGGTCTCACTGTGCAGCCCTGGCTGGTTTCGAACTCACTATGTAGACCCGAGATCCAATTGCCTCTGCCTCCTGAGTGCTGGAATTAAAGACGTGGCCACCACACCTAGCTTTTTTTTTTTTTTTTAAGTAAACAGGTAAATGCGCTAATTGTTTGCTTTCCTTCAACCCCTGGGAATGAGTGAACTAGGTCAGTTCACGGTCAGTTTGGCTGTGGAACTGTAGAATTCAGCTGCTGCTCTAAAGACTACTAGGTTTTGAGTCACTATAGTCGGCAGCTGATATGTTTTTCTGTAAATTTGCATTATTTATTATTGTGTGTGTTTGTGTGAATGTGTAGACATGCTTGTGCCACCGTGTGGATTCGAGAATCAGACGGCAGCTTGGAGAAGTGGGTTCTGTGTCTCTGTGTCTGGAGGAGGATCACCCTCAGGTCATAAGGCCTGGTGGCAGGCACCTTCACCAGGAGAGCCTTTTTTTTTTTTTTCTTTTTGGTTTTTCAAGACAGGGTTTCTCTGTAGCTTTGGAGCCTGTTCTGCTGGAACTAGACCAGGTTGGCCTCAAACTCACAGAGATCCGCCTGCCTCTGCCTCTTGAGTGCTGGGATTAAAGGTGTGCACCACCACCGCCTGGCTCAAGTGAGCCATTCTTGTGACCCCGAAGTAAAAATACCACTCACCCATAGGTTTTTTGAAATTGAGAACATTATCACACAGCCTATACAGTACTGAAATTAATAGAGGAGGATGTTAGTTTCACTCTGAAGAACTACAGGCACAAAAAATTTGCCAGTATGCTTGAAGGAAACATTGTGTTTCAATGAAATACATCACACACATAGTGTATCAACAAACATAAATAGGAGGTTGGCTATTTCTGCCCAGTCTACTGGTAGTAACTTATTTTGCTACACAGAAAAACAATGGTTCCCAGCTTTGCTGCCTTCTTGCTTTTCTTTCCATATGGAAATGATTACCTTTTTGCTGTTTTTCTTATCAACTGTTGCTATGGTTTAAAATACTGGACTATATCTTATTTCAAAGGAATGCAGAAAGTGGTCTGTTTGGCTGTCAGAAGGCACACCCCACTGGCTGCGTTTTGTTAACTCAAATATACTTGAGAAATAATTAGATCATAATTCTCACAAGACAGAATTCTTCAGGACTTCCTGGATGAAACCAATGTTCATGAAGACCCGTGGCTGCATGAGCTCACTGGGGTGAGCTGACTCAGGGACTTTGCTAGAAGGAATGCGTGAGAGAAGTCAACAGTTGAAATCACTTGATACTGGAGACAGGAATTCAGGAGGTACAGACGGGGTGAAGATATTTTTATCTGAAATCCATATAATCAACAGCAGGTGACTATGAGAAGGAAATTCCTACAAGCACTCAGGCCCCATTCGTATGTTTGAACATTTTCTTCAAGCACACCACTATTTGACATATGTGGATAGCAAAAAAAAAA